CAGTGCTGCAGTGGTGGTTTACGACATCACGAGTGAGGGTTTAGGGTTTAGGGTTTAGGGTTTAGGGTTTGGGGTTTGGGGCGGGGTGGGTTTGGGGCGGGCAGATTGGGGTTTAGGGTTTAGGGTTTAGGGTTTAGGGTTTAGGGTGCATGTGCAGACCGCGCTTCCTTCATCAACACTACAAAGTGGATCGAAGATGTCAGGGCAGGTAACATTACCGTAAAGCCTAAACCCTAAACCCTAAACCCTAAACCCTTGCAGCTCCCGTTTGCTGAGCTTTAGAGCATAAACCTGAGGGTTTGCTGCCTAGGTTTTAAAATTTAGGGTTTAGGGTTTAGGGTTTAGGGCTTAGGGTTTAGGGTTTAGGGTTGCATTTGCAGAGCGCGGCAAAGACGTCGTCATCGCCTTAGTCGGCAACAAAACGGACTTGAGCGACCGCCGGTAAGAGGGTTTAGGGTTTAGGGTTTAGGGTTTAGGGTTTAGGGTTTAGGACGAGTTTTAGTGTTCCCAAGGGTTTATGGTTTTGTGGTGTTCGCAGCCAAGTGTCGCCTGAGGAAGGGGAGCAAAAGGCTCGCGAGGTTTGCTGCTGCTGCTGCCACTGCTGCTGCTGCTGCTGCTGCTGCTGCTGCTGCTGCTGCTGCTGCTGTTCCTGCTGCTTCTGCTGCAGCAGCTGCTGCTGCCTTTTGGGATTGAGCGGAAGGCCTGCGCAGTGAAGCGTTTAGGGTTTGCGAGGGTTTAGGGTCTGGGGGGTTTAGGAGGGTTTAGAGCTGGCGGTGGTTTAGGGTTTACGAGGGTTTAGGGTTTACGAGGGTTTAGGGTTTACGAGGGTTTAGGGTTTGGGTGTTCAGCAAGGAATTTTATTTATTGAGACAAGTGCAAAGGCCGGCCATAATGTGAAAACCCTTTTCAGGAAGCTGGTGAGGCCTAAACCCTAAACCCTAAACCCTAAACCCTAATGCAGAGACAAAACAAAAGAATATAAGTGGCCAAAGGCAAAACAGGAGTAGTCTGCAGACTCAGCGAGCACATAACCTGCTGCTGCTGCTGTTGCTGCTGCTGCTGCTGCTGTTGCTGCTGCTGCTGCTGTTGCTGCTGCTGCTGCTGCAGGCTGCTGCTTTGCCCGGCCTTGAAACGCAGCAGTCTGCATCAGATGCCCAGAGTAAGCAGCCCTAAACCCTAAGCAGTAAACCCTAAACCCTAAACCCTAAACCCTAGCTTACATTGCCTTTAGGCGTTTCTAGGCTGCTGCTGCTGCTGCCGGTGTAGCCGGTAGTGCTGCTCTTTGTGCTGCTGCTGCCCGAACATCTGCTGCTGCTGCTGTGCTGCTACGTTGCTGCTGCTGCTGCTTCTGCTGCTGCAGTGGTGGATGTACAGCTGAACGCGACCCCACAGCAGCAGGATTTGTCTCGCAAGGCATCTGGCTGCTGGTGCGGAAGGAGCAGCAGCAGCAGCAGCAGCAGCAGCAGCAGCAGCAGCAAGAACGGTCCCGCTAAGGAAGTAGACGGAGCAAGTGCCTTCTGCGCTCTTTTTTACTTGAAACGCGGATTTAGGGTTTAGGGCCTAGGGTTTAGGGTTTACGGTCTAGGGTTTAGGGTTTACGGGCAACTCGCCGTGGCTAGCTAGATGGCTCTCGGAGCTAGCTAGCTCCTCACAGCTAGCTAGGTAACCCGCAGCTAGCTGGCTACCTGTGGCTAGCTAGCTCGCCGTGGCTAGTTAGCCCACTGTAGCTAGCTAGCCTATCGTGGCTAGCTAGCCCACCGTGGCTAGCTAGCCCACCGTGCTAGAGAGCTCTCTGTGGCTAGCTAGCTACCTGTGGCTAGCTAGCCCATCGTGGCTAGCTAGCTTATCATGGCTAGCCAGCTTATCGTGGCTAGCTAGCTCTCTGTGGCTAGCTGGCCCGTTGTGGCTAGCCGGCTGGAGTGGCTAGCATGCGCAGCACATAATGTTCAACTTGCTGCAGCAGCAAACTGCAAACAGCTGCAGCAAGGTAGCTGCCAGCTAGCCACCGGCTATTCGCAGCTAGCTGCAGCTAGCTGCAGCTAGCTAGCTGGCTGCAGCAGCTAGCTGCAGCTAGCTGCTGCAGCTAGCTAGCTGAGTCTTCGGGCTGCTGAAGCTTCTGAGCCATCAGCTGAACCAAACCCATCCCTGTCTTCTTCACCTCGAGACGAAGACCCAAAAAGGCATTTAAATGACTGAAATGAATTAAATTAATTAAAATAATTTTAAAAATGATTTTTTAAGATTTATTTATTTCTTTTTCGGGAGATTTCCGAAGCGGGCGCGCGGAGCTGCGCGCAGTCTTCGGAGGTCACCTCCGGTGATGGGCGAGTCGGAGTGGCAGCATCTGTTTTCTCCGGTTTTTCTTCTTTTTTAATTAAAATTTGAATTTAAAACATTTAAATTCTTTTTATTCGTCAAATTTCAAATCCAGAGAGGCCCCTAGAGCTCCAATAAGCCCCGAAACTGATCTTTTGAGAGGGGCTTGCAGCAGCATCGGTGTGACCGGGGGAGTTCAGGTGTATGTACACCTCAGCAGCGCCAGCTGCTGAGGTGTACATACACCTGAACTCCTTTTTATTTCCATTTCAATCCAGATCGGGTTTAGATCCAGTTCCTAAACCCTAAACCCTAGGCGCATCGGCGCAGCCCACCAAACCCTAAACCCTAAACCCTAAACCCTCAACGCTGGCGTTGTCCTTCAACGGCTTCGTAAGAGCCTCCCATGTATCAGCCGAAGATTCGATGTATGCCGCAAACCCTAAACCCCAAACCCTAAACCCTAAACCTAAACCCTAAACCCTCTGCCAAATGCCTCAAGCTCTAAACCCTAGGGATCTACTTTGCTGACAGTTCTTTTACACATGGAGCATCACCCTGAAACGGGAATTCAAAGGCTTCAATCTAGGGTTTAGGGTTTAGGGTTTAGGGTTTAGGGTTTGGGGTTCAAGTCCTAGTGAGCTCAAACGCCCCCAAACTTCGGAATGCAATGGGGGACGCTGCTCAGCAGCAGCAGCTGTTGCTGCTGCTGCAGACGCAACAACTGCTGCTAGAGGAACTGCTGCAGCAGCAGCAGCAGCAGCAGCAGCAACAGGAGCCGGAGCAGCAGCAGCAGCAGCAAACTTCTTCTGCTTCCGCAGCAACAGGTGCTCTCAAAAGCTGCAGGGCGAGCCGCTCTTCCCTCTGGGTCCCCAACCCCCAAACCCTAAACCCTAAACCCTAAACCCTAAACCCTAAACCCTGAGCTCGAGACCCCAAACCCTCGTTCCAAGCCCTGTCCGTAAACCCTAGTAAACCCTCGCAAACCCTAGCCCTAAACCCTAGCCTGAGAAGCTCTAAACCCTAACTCTCTGCCTATTTGCTGCAGCAACTTTAAAACCCTTTCTTTCATCTCCAAGAAAGATATCTGCCCCTATCCAGTACAGCTGGACCCTACCGGGGCCCCCCTTGGGGGGCCCCCCCTCGGGGGGCCCCCCATCGGGGGGCCCCCCACTTGGGGGGCCCCCCTTGGGGGGCCCCCCTGAGGGGGGCCCCCCTTCAGGGGGGCCCCTCCTTGGGGGCCCCTTGTTTGGTTTTCCTGAGTCTGCTTCTTGCTTAGCTGAAGCAAAAGGCAGGGGGGCCCCTGCTGAGGCTTTGCAGCAGCAGCTGCAGCAGCAGCAGCAGCTGCTGATGCTGCAGCTGCTTACAGTGATGCAGCAGCAGCAGCAGCAGCAGCAGCAGCAGAGTCGTGGGAGCAAGCAGCAGCGCTGGAACAGCGTTTTGCGCAGCAGCAGCTCAAGAGCAGCAGCAGCAGCAGCAGCAGCAGCAGCACCCTCAGCAGCAGCCACGACGGTGGCAGCAACTAGGTCTCCAGCAGCACCACTGCCACCAGCATCTGCTGCTGCTGCTGCTGCTGCTGCTGCTGCTGCTGCTGAGCCCTCGCTGCTGCGCTTCGAGAGGAAGCAGAGATATGTTGCTGCTGCCATTTCCCCCGACGGCTCTGTTGCAGCAGCAGCAACAAAGGCGGGGGAGATCGTGGCTTTTCACTTGCCCGAAAAAAGGTGACAGCAATCAGCAGCAGCAGCAGCAGCAGCAGCAGCAGCAGCAGCAGGCAGCAGCCGCCAGCCGCAGCAGCAGCAGCAGCAGCAGCAGCAGCAGCAGCAGCAGCAGCAGCAGCAAAGTGATGGTGGTGCTTGCTGCTAAGCAGCAGCTGCTGGCCCTAAACCTCCAGGGGCATATTTTGTGGAGCGACAATACAGCGCACGCGCACTCGGTGCGGCAGATCCAGCAGCTCACCAGCAAAACGTAAACCCTAAACCCTAAACCCTAAACCCTAAACCCTAAACCCTAATAAGCCCAAACCCTCAACCCGCAGGCCATCTAGACTTCTAGACTTCTGGCGTTTCTATCTGCGGCGTGGGGTCCCCGTGGAGTCTCAGGGGATGCCACAGCCTTTGCACCTAAACCCTAAACCCTAAACCCTAAACCCTAAACCCTAAACCCTAAACCCTAAACCCTAAGTTTGCCGTTTGCTGCGCAGCTTTGGCTCTCTTTCTGCGGACTGCGTGGCCCTCTGGTGCCTCCGCACCTTCCGTCGTCTCCGTCTTTTCACTTGTAGATATTCTCCTCCATTTAGGGCATTTTGTTCTCTCAGTTCCGTTTGGGGGGCCCCCGGGGGGCCCCTGGGGGCCCCCAGGGGCCCCCCGGGGGCCCCCCAGGGGGCCCCCCGGGGGGCCCCCCGGGGGGCCCCCCGGGGGCCCCCCAAAGACGGCTCTTGGGGGGGCCCCCACAGCCGCGCGCTGCGCAGCTCCAGGGACCCTTGGGGGAGAAGCAAGCGCAGCAGCAGCTTCCGTCGTCTCCGTCTTTTCACTTGTAGATATTCTCCTCCATTTAGGGCATTTTGTTCTCTCAGTTCCGTTTGGGGGGCCCCCGGGGGGCCCCTGGGGGCCCCCAGGGGCCCCCCGGGGGCCCCCCAGGGGGCCCCCCGGGGGGCCCCCCGGGGGGCCCCCCGGGGGCCCCCCAAA